GCATTATTTCATTTCAATTGTAGAACTCTCTATAAAGGAGCTTGTTAATTAATTTGTTGAGAAAATCTATTATTTATATAGCTTATCTGATAATATTATATCCGATAAAGGTTTGCAATTTATATCAGAATTTTGGAAATACTTATCCAAATACTTATCAATCACTTTGAAATAGTTCTCCTTGTTTCACCCTAAATTCGATAAACAAATAGAAAGAATAAATACTATAATAAAATAATACCTTCGAGCTTTTATAAACTTTTATCAAGATAATTAATATGATTAACTTTTGCTCACAGAGTTTGCATTCAATAATACAACCTCAAAGATTACTGATATATCCCTATTCTTTATTAATTATAGTTTTTATTTACATCTTAGTATTAAGCCCTTCTTATCTATTCCCCCGAATTTGTTATATTAATGCAAACGCGAATTCCTAAAGGCCAATGAGATCACAAATCGATTTGATATTATTCTAACAAAATTGAAAGCTTTAGCTATTCAATCTATTCAGAAATATGAAGATTATATTAATAAGATTTGTATTAATGCTTTTTTATATAAAGAGAGTGATAGAGTATGGGTTAATACTAAAAATATAAAGACTAATTGATCAATAAAGAAAGGCAATAACAAATGGAACAGTTTCTATAAGATTATTAAAGTTTACAAACAAGTCTGTTTACTTTAGCTTCCTACTAGTTTCAAGATCTTTCTAGTATTTTACAACTCATTACTCCAACCATTCTATTGTTCATTCGGATTAGCTGATCAAAAAACGATCAACAATACTGAATCCTATCGGAATTAAGGATGTATTCTAGAAAAAGATAACAAAATGAATAAAGAAATCGAGCGATAGGAATTCAATAAACTATTTGATTATTATAATAAGAATGGATTTCATTATCAAATCAAATAGAAATATTACTCAGCATCCTAGCAACCTATCGAAAACCTTCATGGCTAGAAAGATATAATTATTACTTTTCATTTAGCAAATCCAAATAAATCAGAACTGTCTGCTTGGATAGGTTTCAAAAAACCTACTACTTCTAATCCCCTGCTAATACTTATATTAAATATATCCCTGAATCAAGGTCGAGGTAGATCTAAAAAGCTCTATTAATTGATTATTATTTCTAAAAAAGTTTATTTTAATCTAATAATAGAAATTAGAGTATTTTAGTGTTATTTTGTATTCTAAAAGGTTAATTGGTATTACAATTGTGGACCGATCGCCTTGAACAGGGGGTACTGTTACAGTGCCAACTATATGATCTGTAGTTGCCTTTGTGCCTCAGGTACAGAATACTAGTACGCCCTACTTCCTATAAGTAGGGCTTCACTCTTTTATAGCTCTTCTACCCTTATGGTACAATATAAGTCTTTACCCGTACCATGACAATAATAGACTATAAAATCATTATGTCCGTTTCGTATTACTATAAGTCTATATAATACCCTGCAAAGAAGCTTAAGGCTTTCCGGCTCTAAGATATCATATGCCGGTTTCTATGCATTATACATTTCGGAGATCAGGCCTCTTTTTTCCTTCCATTATCTGCTCTCTACTTTTAAATTAAGCTATATATATTCTAGTATATAGGAAATAGAAATATAAAGTAATTTAAATCGAAATCAGAGACGATTTGAAAAAAAATAAAGATACCTTATAAATTTAGGTATTTGAAGTATTAATATTATTATAATATTATATAGATATAGGGTGAAAGGTCTATAAAAGCCTATAAAAACGCGGATTATTTGTTAGATTGAAAACGAGGATTGCTTTTTCTAATCCTCGTTTTCAATTCGCGTTTTTGTTTTCCTATACAAATTTGATGAAAAACGTGGATTATTTAGTGTCATTTTAGAGTAATCCATCTCTTCCCTATTTCGAAATATACTAAATTTATTGAAATGCAGATTATTTGACGGAATCCGCGATTTGACGTCCAAACATGAATTCAAAATCCGCTTTCAAAAAGAGCGGAATATTCAGCGGATCCAGCGCGGATTTGTGCATCCAAACTAGCCCTCAGTCGAATCCTCTTTCTTTCCTCTTTATCTTGAGATTGAATCTTTTCTCAGACCGACTAATCATAATACGCAGCTGCCATATTAAGAAACTTGCCAGCAAACATTCCTGTCTCTTTTCTTATTCCCGTTGCTCCCTTTCTCTTTTCCTCGCCCTTTCTTTTTCGACGTCAAACATCAAACGTCGAAGAAATATTAGTCATCAAACCAGCCCACCTGCTCTATTAGGCCTAGCACGATCACAACGTTACCCTCAGCATTGTCCTGTATCTCAGACCATACCTTATCAATATCCAAAAGGAACTGAAACATAAAGTATTGAGTAGGCTATAATTTCGCAAACGAGTCGAGTTGCTTGTGTATATTCATATTCGCAGACAGAGTGAGCCGGTCGCTAGTCCAGGAATTTCGCTTCCTCCAGACCTTGATTATCTATATTAAAGGAAAACACACCTCCCAGTAGTCTTTCAGCCTAATGATCAATTTTTGCCTTACCAAACGCCGAGTTGCCAAATGTGGCAATTCGAAACCCTCTCCTTCTGCAAAAACAAAATTTCTTAGGTTATACAAGAGCAAACCATAACATCTATGGTTCGCATTCTTAAAGAAGGACTTGATCATGTGTACGGTGTCAGTGTCCGGCATATTGCGAACTTGCCCTCTCAATGAATTCGAGTTCAAAGTTCAAAGTTCAAATGCAAACAAATCCTGCGTCGAAACAAGCTGGATAGGAATTTGAATAGTACTCTTGACGTTTATTCATAAAGTTTTCAGCGGGGTATGGCTGGAAATGTAAGAAGCTAGACGATGTGGCCGACGAGCATTTCGATAGAGTTGCTTTGTTTCATTTTTTTATTCTATATACATTGTTCCATTACCCGATCTATATTTCATGAGTTTTGCTTCTCCTGCAAGGATATTCGAAGAGTCATGTCAAGCCAATTTTCAAATAGAATTACATTTCAACATCTTACACTCTGTTTCTCTACCTCTCAATCATCACTTCAACACCCCCTCGATCTGCATCTTCCTCTCTTCAGCTTGTCTCTTCCTAATCCTATCCCTCCATCTAATCACCTCTGCACCAGCCATGCCCCCAATATATCCCGTGATATGCGATTGATAATCCAAGATTTGTTTGCCAGCAGCGCTGCTCGCTCTCCTCCAAGCTAAGACTTCCGACCCAAATAGCATTACTAGTGCTACCCATGAGGGAATCGATGGAGTGAGCCCAAAAAAGCTGATACCCTTATCTCTTTTATACCACAAGTCTGCCGCCATAACACCACATACCGCACCGGACGCACCGAGACCTGATGAAATAAAAGCACTTTTCCATACCCATCCTGCCATTGAAGCAAAGGAACATACAGCACCTATCGAGAAATATAGGGCGAGGAAATTTGCGCGACCAACTTCATCATGAAGATCAACTCCAAAGATGGCAAGAAAGACCATGTTCGGGAGAAAATGAGTGAAGGCTTGATGGGAAAAGACACCTCCAATCATTGATAATGCTCGAGGGTAGGCAGGAATGATCATAAAGTATTTGTTGAGCATTGTCCAACAAGGTGGCACACGCCAGAAGAAAAGTACCATAGTGTTAGCCAGAATTAGTGCAGAGACTGTGGCAACTGCGGGTGGAATTTCTGGAAACATGCGAGAGTCTCGGAGAGGGGGTATGTAGAAATGTGCCAATGTACACGAGACACCCACTGTCAAGAGAACAACTAGAGCGGAAGGCCAAAGACGAGTAAAAGCAGAAAATTCGGGAATAACATCAGGGACAGTTTCTTGTGCCTTTTTCTCAAAGTGTTTGAGCCATGGATGTTCACCTTTTCGACGAAGTTCTACTCGTGATCTTGGTTTGACGTGATCTAATGTGCCAGTGTTATATCGTATCTCATCTGCTTGGCTCAACTCTTCTTCCTTCTTCTTCTTTTCTAAAGCGGCAGCTTTTGCTTGATTGGCTTTCCTGATAGCATCTAATCCACTATCACCATATACACTTTTTTTCTCTTCTGCTGGCGCATTCGAATCATTTGGCTTGTACATATTGAGATTGATTCTTCCCCCTCTCGTCACACCACCTCCAACATTAGGCACATATATCCCAATTCTTTCGGAGTCTGAAACGATTTCTCCCTCAATCTCGGCTAGTTCTTGTTCGGCTCGTAAGGCTGCGTTCTCATCCTCATCAACTGGAACATTCTTTCTTAGCCATGCTAATGCGTTTTTCTGTGCGACTTCCTCCCAGTATGCTAAGGAACTAGGCTCGTCTGGATCTGGTAAGGTTCCCGCCACTCTTCGTCCATGTATAACTCTCAGAAATCGTTCTGCCGAATCTATATCCATTACACGTCCAAAAATCGCCTGGATTTCCTCCTCTGTAATCGGATCCTCTCGATAATCTAGACCCATTTGATCTTCATAGTCTGATGGTAGTTGGTCATATCTTGTATATATTGTCTTTCCAAGCGTAGCCTTTGGAGATAATTTCTTGGGAGGCAATCCCTTGGATAATGTCGATTTCTTTGGAATTTTTGAAGCCCTTCGTTTCGAGGCATAGAACCTCTTCGAGCATTGCAACCCTAGAGCTCCTGACCAGCAACAGTTTTCAACCTCTGGTTTCCCTGCGCCTAGTCCCCTCCTTCGAAAGGGCGCCGACGATATCGAATACGGTCGTATAGCTCCATGAGCAAGCCTCGAGGCTAAACCATCAATTCTGCTACATGTTTGTAGAGTGACCCAAGTTTGTAAGCACGAACTGCGTGCTGCAGGCCAAAGACTATTCATCTTCAACTTCTTACTATAATGTCATACCTTGCTTTGAATCATTGGATGAAGGAACCCCGCTATGGTGTTCTTATTCGCCATCGAATTTCCTAGAGATTGGATTTGGAGATCATAGAAAATCTACGCGCACGGACCAATATGCGATAATTCCGCGCGGGCAGCTGTTGCCTCGACTTCAACCCCTCCATTCCTATCACTTATTACAATCTCTCAGATACAATCATCAATCCACGACATCTCGAAATTTTCTCTGTAAATTTCAAGAATTTGAAGAGCCAACACCTCTCTTGTTTACCGACAAAGGAATATCAGCTTTCACAAATTCCAACTTTAGGCATAGCCGCAAGAGCTATACACAACCCCTCCAACAGCATCCACGAACTTGACAAATAATTCTCAAATCTACCCAAATATCAACATGTCCGCCGACGCCCTCCCAATCTCCCCTGCCGCCTTCGCAGAAGCTCTCAAAGATCTCCCCATGTCTACTCTTCACCTCAAAGCCGCCGAACTACGCAATTCCATCGCACATCTCGATTATTCTAACGAAGAATTGAAACCTTTCGCTGAAGGGAGAGCTCCCGAATGTGTAAACGGGAAGGCGGATGAAGATTGGTATGTTGTTCTCCTTTGATTTCTTTTCCTTACTTTACAAAAGAAGAACGCGAATCTCTTCGAAATAACTACTAATCAGCTCTGATAGTATTGACGCCATTCGCGAAAACGAAATTGTAATAGCCCGCATGGAAACCCGCATCTCACTTCTCCGCACAGAAATCGAAGCTCGAGGTGGAGTATGGGGCGAATATGAAGCTGGCGCCGAACCTAAGCCAGAAGAAGATGTGTCATCTCCCGCTCCTGCGACAAACGGCACAACCTCTGCGAATGAAGAAAGTAGGAGTAACCCTTGGGCCGATGGAACATTTACTACAGGACGAATTGTGGGAGGTGAAGTTGTGTTGGATTCAACACCTGCAGCTACAGCAGCACATCCAACGGCGAATGGAGTTACAACAAATGGAAACACAGCAACTACGAACACAGGAGGAAGATTGGACGATGAAGCTTTACGTCGAGCAATGGAATTACGGATGCGCGAAGATGCTGGTGCAGATGAGGAGGAAGGTATGCATTTGTGAGATGGTAACTCGTTTTTCGTCTTACATAGTACCCGTTGGTAATCTTGGAAGATATCTATTCGAGAAAGGCTTAAAACCACCGGCTATGAGGAATGCTCTAAGAATAATCCTCAGAGACCCTGCCAACTACCTCCGGCTCGTTTTCTGGGCACATTTCCACACCTTTCAACACCGCAAGATCAATTAAGGAGCCTCAACGACCGGAACATCTATTTGTCTAACAATCACCTATAATTCAAACCAACACAATCTTAACAACCCCATACTCACCAATCAACCTTCTCAACAGGGTATGTCTTGCAAACTAAGAGTCAAATCCACCATAAAATAACAAAGCAAAGAAATAAAATCACTGCAGTCCAAAGGAGTCACTTGTAGTATTTAACAAGGCGGGTTCTCCAACCATGGTATTCAACTCCCACCCTACGAGCAACAAGGTGATTCGACCATAGAAACTCAACTTGCTCCGAATCCATCCACGCGAGCAAAACAGCAAACTCGATCTTCATACCCAGGGTTTCCGCACAATACCTCTCAGTCATAACTCATTCCACCGCATCTCATCATGATACCAGCCCATATTCTAAAAAGTTCAATCTTCACATCTCACAAAAGTTCTTGCTCTTTTTTTTATTAATTATTTGCATCGGCGGCGTTGTAGATACCATTTCCTTTCATTTTCTCTCTCTCTCGTGTTTATTGTTATAACTGGTCTACTGGCTTTAAATAGAAGAAGAATTAAAATGTCGTTCAAGAGATTCATCCATCCATCCATTCATCCATTCATCTATCTAACTAGCTAGCTACCTACCTACCATAAATCTCCACAATAAAAGTTTCCTTTGCCTTGGGAATATACAGATACAGATACAGATATGAAGATATACATGCAGATATAAAAATACAAAAATACAAAGAAGTGACGTGACGTGACGAATAATTCGTAATTCGTAGCAGATGATTGATAATAATAAGTATCACGAATTAGGGAAGGCCAATACCAATACCAATGACAATGACAACGATAAGGACAATAAGAATAAAAATAAAAATAACGACAGCAATACAATATTACCTAATTACAAATACAATCAAGACGGAAGAAGAGAGGAAAAAATCGCAATCCTGGTATCAAAGAATCCCCAACCCGTCCAATCCAATCCAGTCCATGGACATGGATATACTATTAACAACGTACGCATCCGTTCTTCTGAAACATATCATATCCCTCCCTCATCTACTCAACCAATCATTTTCCCAGTCTCCGCACTATTAATCAATCCCCCACCTACTCACTCACCCACTCCCTCTCCCCCAACTCCCCACCCACACCAACCAACCTACACCAACCCCCTAAACATCCTCTCTCCCTGCGCTCCCCCCCCTCCCCGCCACAGAAGTCCTACTCTTCCTCTCCCTCAAACTTCTCCTTCCCCCCGCCCAACTCCTCCTTCCCTCGTCCACCACCAACGGCACGCCCGTATATCTCAAAACCGGTACGCTCATGCCATACGCCCGCGTCTTGCCCTCTGCATCATGCTGATCAATCTCGACTCGGACCACCACGTCTAGACTTCCATCTCCGCTCTTGCCGTGGTATTGCGGATCCGCTGCTTTGTATGCGCTTCCTGCGCCCTGTTCTCCCTTGTGGAGGGGGGAGTGTCCATCTTTTGGTGTTTCCGAGGCGGGGAGATCGTAGGGCCCTGAGGATGAATCGACTGGCGTTTCAGCATTTCCATTCTGGGCCGGAATGGAAGATGCCGAGGAAGGTGAATTTTCTGTAAGAACTGCCCAATTTCGACTTGGCATCGTGACAGTATTACTCTTACTAGTCTTCTTCTCATCTCCCGGATCTCTATCAAAGAAACTCAACAGTGTCTCATCAGTCTCTTTATCTAAATGATGAATTTTATTTCTCTTCGCTAAAAGATTTGCGACCGCTTGCGGAGGAGGCTTATTAACAATGGCTGAAGAAATGATATTCGCCATATACTTGTAATCTGTTGAAACTGGGATGTTCAAGTGAGGATTTGAGTAGAAACGTCCAACGGCAGCGAGATGTACGTCGCCACCAAGAATGGTGATACGGACTGAGAATTCGGATGCGAGGGATTGAAGTTGTTTGATAATGTAGTGACGTTCTTTTTTGTGGGTATGTGCTGTGTAATGATCATCGAGATCATCAAGAAGATCTACACTGCCATCGAAATGATTGAAGAAACTTCCACCTAGCAATGAGGGTTAGCAAGTACTATAGATAAATGGATGTATAAAATATCGCTAACCAAATCCAAATCGCTTATTCATAAATTTGAGTGGGCCCATTAAGGGGCTCGAAAAAATATTCTCTAGCCATGTCAAACGCTACAAATATTAGCATCATATCATGTTGAATTGTAATATCAGACTTACTGGGTAGGCGATAGGGATTCCGAGTAAAATAATAAGATGTTGAATAGGGTTCGGAGAATCTTTTGCGGCTGTAAGTTCTTCTCTAAGACGATCGAAAATTTTCTTGTATGTTTCTGGATAGTTGACTTGATGACGTGTACGCTAGATTAAAGGTCAATATATTACTCTGGTTGATAATTCTGACTACTTACTTCCGTTCTAGCATCAATACCAAAGAAAGCAACTCTTGCGCCTAATCTTGCATAGATACTACGGGAGCGCTCTGCTACATATGGCTGCAAATTATTAGCTTTATCTTTAAGACAACGCGAAATTACTTACACCGGGGCTATCACCAATAATATAACTTGGATCAGGAACGTCATTTTCCAATACATATGTATTTTCTATTTGACGTGGATCAATTCCACCTCCATTTGTGGACATAGTCTGAGGTGCATCTGAGAAATATTAGTATAGGACAAAAGAATGGTCGGAGGAACAGCGCACCAGTCGTGAATGTAGATGCCGGAGGTGCAAGATGATGCTGAAAGAGTAAATAGTATTTATGAGCAACACCACCAATACCGCGGAAAACGGGACAACGCATGAATTCATCAACGTATGAACCAAAGCCATCAATGATCTATTGAATTGATTAGTAGCTAAACCTATCATGAGACAAAAGACACCCACGTCATGATCATCCCAAAGATTGACTTGAGGGATCTTTCCATTCATCGCAGCAAAAGGTTCTGTGGAATACCTATATCCTAAAGTTAATTTTCGTAGCCTAAATCTTCCACTCCAACCATTGACTTACCAGCGAATATAATTCTTGACATAATAATCATCACAGTCTCTCCTCAACTGTTCGGGAAAAGGATACTCCCTTCTCTTGATAGGATTACCAATATCAGTCCAAGGTCTCAGAGGACCATTGACTCTAATTCCATCATTATAAATCTGGTCTCCACCACCAAGCCTATCGAATGTTAGTCTGTACCAATCCCAAAATCGAGGATATCCCTACATCACATGGAAAGGAGCTTCCTCGTGTTGTCGTGCGACATCTCTCCAAAGACAAGCACCACTATAAGCTTCCTCATCTGTTCCCACGCTAAATCCATTACAAGAATGAAACATTATTCTCATACTCTCGGTAACCGCTGGTACGAAAAAGGCTTGTCTATCCGTCTTTCCTCCTTCAGCAAATGTGAGACCGGGAATTGTGTATTCGCATCGAAGTTCTTCTTGTAGCATTGGAACTTGGATATGAAATCTCCAAAAAGTATTCGCAACATCTGCATAAAGCTTGACTCCTCTAACTTTGATTTCTTCCAAATCGCTAGAAGTATTGGACACTCCATTTTGTTGAGGGATATTGCCATTTGATGCTTGTGTTGGGTGTACGTTTTCAGAATAATCTACCCCGTTAATAATCCCCGGCGCTTGATCATGACCATTCAATTGTTCACTCCCAGTGGCAATACCCGCCCCATTACCATTTTGTGTGGCCTGTCTCCTCTCTTGAACTCGTAATCTCAACTCCGGTACTGCATCTTCTCTGACCGTATGCGAATCAACCACAACCAACACACTCCCAAACCAAACATCATTTTCCATCCGTCTATAATTAAGCAACGGACCACACTTAACCGTTGCCCCCGCGCCAGTCCTCTGCACTCCATTCGCGGCATCCCTATGTTCCAATTCCTCTTGTTCCCTCCTCGCAGCTTCAAGTTCCTCGGACTGCGCATTCCCAGCTAGTACAATTGGTCGATGCGGACTGGGTGAACCTTTGCCTTGAACTCGCGATTTGTTAAGAAAACTAGCCAAATCCTCTTTTTCATTTCTGCCCTCCACTCCTCGAGCTCCGATGTTTGCATGATTGGAAAATGCGGTGGATTCTTGGTGGCGCCATGGATTCGAGGATGCGTGGGTGTCGATGTGCTCTTTTCCGTGCAGGAGATCGTCCCGATAGTGAGCTGCCATTGTTTATGGGAGCTGGGAATTCGGAAGCTGTGAATTATGTGTATGTATGGTTATGCGTGTTTTTTGTCGGTGATGTGCGCGAGGAAGAAGTAGAAGATTAAATTGTTGATCCTTTTTTAAAGTAAATGATACGGCCCGTCCGCGTTTCTACCAGTTGACCCAAATGCGTAATATAATGCTTTGTGCAACCTCGAGATTACTCGCTGAGTAGGTTCCCTCTGATCGCAATTAGACAGGTGCCTAGGTATAGAAATGTCAATTCACTCCCTCACAGGACATAGAATCCAAAACAAGATAGAAGTTTCTGCTTCCTGAAAAGCGAATGTCACCGTGGCAATGACAACAAAAGCGAAAAAGACCAACAACAACAACAACAACAACAACAATTATCATTCATTTCTATCAAAAACAAGTCAAATTCTCACTTTCCCCAATTTCTCTTGGCTTATATAACGCCAAGAATGTAATCAAATACAAAGAAATTATATGTATGGTAGACCTATCGCATCTGGTGGGGCTTGAAGTTCTCCATCAGAATCACGGACCAGCAGGGAAAGGGCGATCATTTATGTATGAAGTAATGTGTGAACTTTGGAGTGTGTAAGAATCCTTGTCGGAGTACGAATTGGATCAAGGTAGGAGGAGATGCATTTTTCCTCTTGACCAATTGGAGATGGTTTATTGTTTAGAGTTTGTCGATATATACTCCTCTTCTTTCCCTTGCAGCGGCTATGTCGAATCGAATGAGGGACTATTATACTACACTCGGGATCTAATATAGTCACCTACCTAGATACTCATTACATATATCTGCCAGAGTCTTTACATATCCATATACTATCATATACCTACACCGTACCCAGGTCCATACTAGGACTTTCCTTAAACCTATAAACCCACCTCCCACCATGCCACCTCATTCATCACAACTCTCAATTTCGCAGTCCGATCCAACCTCATCATCAAGACTCCGTACTCTGTAGATAAACCATAACCCATACGATCTTACCAGCTGATATCTTCACACCAGCCACCACACCAGCCATCTTCAAAGATCCACCTAATAACAAGCCGAAAAATAGCGCATACGCTATTCTCACATGTAGTTCACTAGTTTCGAGTCAACGATCGATTAGCTGACGCAGACCGCAGTCGATGAGGTAGTCTCCTTGGCACGGATGAAAGTAGCCTTATGAAGAGAATTGCTAGGTACATGAACTACATAATATCGTATTCGGATTTATACATAGGTAGGTGGGTATGTATGTATGTACCGGTACTGTTTGGAAGGAATAATTATAAATCGTAATGGGTTTGATACTTGATGGTTTATTTAGTTTATCATTCTAATGCTTATGGATATCGTTTCTGGGCATGGTGAGCTTGTTATTGCTTGTTCAAACCTCTTCACCGTCCGTCTCTTCGATATTCGCACATACCACACGGCAATCATAACCATGGATCCCAAAAATCAACCCATGTATTAGCAAACCCGCAAATCTTTGTTCGATGCAGTAGTTCGAGTAGAAGTCGAGCAACATTCCATTGAAACGTCTCAAACACCATTCTTACTGTAAACACTGTGCGCCTCGGTCGATACGAATCGAGTCGAGTCGAGTCGAGTCAAAACTAACACACCCTGACCCTGACCCTCACCCTCATCCTCACAAACCACAAACTCTCGAAACGTCCACCGGTCTCGGTTGCACATTCTCATTCGCCTCATCCATATAACTATTCCCCCAATCCTTCACCTCCCCCTCCAACCCCTCAATACTCTCACATCCCAGTATCTTCACTCTACCCCCCTCCCCCTCTCCCTTTCCACCCCTCATCCAGGGTTCCAATACCCTCAAAATCCACGTCCGACACGTAATTTCCCCCTCATTC